GAGCGCCACCGCGCTTCCCAAGTGGCGCACTGTAGCAGTGCGCCACCGGGCCGGCCCTGTTATTGTACTTTTCAATTCCACAATTTCTATTTGGTTCTTTTTTATAATTTTTATCTTTTTACTAATATTCTCTATTTGAAAGGTATCATTTTACACTTTCCTTTAGTTCTTTAGACATAGTTTCCTTTAGTATTTTGAACATATCTCAAATAGCTGATTTAAGGTGTTTGTCTAGTAAGGCCAACACCTGGGCACCTCATGGACAGTTACTATCAAGTTCTTTTTTTCCTGGCTTTGGGCCATACTTTCTCATTTCTTTCTATGTCTCATAATTTTTTGTTGAAAACTGGACATTTTAAATAATATAATGTGATGACCCTGGAAATCATATTTTCCCCTCTTATCAGTTTGTTGTTGTTGATATTTGCTGTTTAATGATTTTCCTAAACTAATTCTGTAAAGTCTATAGTCTTTCTTGTGTGGGCCACTAGAGTCTCTGCTTGGTTAGATTAGAATTCAGCTAATAATTGAACAGCTTTTCTTAAATGGCTGGAACCAGTAAGACTCATAGTCTTTGCTGAAGAGCTTATGTGCCTGTTGGGGCTCACCCTCAACAGCCCACCAGGCAGCTGACAACTCTGCCTTAGCCTTCGCTTCCTGTTTGCACAGAGCCTCAAGGTCAGGCAGAGGGGAGAGCTGAGGACCTTCTTAAATTTTCCCTGAGCATTCACATAGCTGTGTGCATGCATGTGGCCTGTAGATGCTGAGGAACATGTGTTAGAACTTTTCAAAGCCCCTTATGGACATCTCAGTCCTCAGCTTTTCTTTTGAAGCTTTTCAGTTAACCTGTTGTTTGTGCCTACTGTTAGGCACCATCCCAGAGAGTCTCAGCGTTAAACAATTGCTTATAATTATTTTCATCAAACACTCTTGGGGATTAGTCTTTTCACACTGGGAAAACTCCAAGTTTGGTTAAATAAAAGCAGCCTTCTGTGTGAGGTTGTCCAGGGGACTGCCAGACAGGTCAAATAATGATAATTTGCTGAGAATGGAGTGTTGAAGGAGCTTCAGCTCTCTTCTGCCTGTTGTGGTGGCTGCCAGCTGCTGGTTTTCACCCTGGTTATGGACAGTTGGTTTTAAGGCTACCGTGGAGCTTGGGAGAGTAGGATGGGAAGGAATAGGTCAAATTAAAACATTACAAAGCTTGCCTTTTTTTTTTTTTTTTTTTTTGGATGAAGACAGCCAGTTTCCCTTGAATAGACACACTCTAGACTGCTGCAGGTCTTTGGTTAATTTTCACCATTGATTGTCACTGTGATTCTCAGTGTTCTCTTTGCTTTTATTGGAGGAATTTTACTTCACCGTTTTTGCTGATGTCTCCTTATTTTTTGTAAACACGCATTGGTAAAGAAGCTTTTGTTGAGTTATTTCACATCATTTAGACATTCTATATTAGTTCTTATTCTTGAGATTCTGCCATTTTGGTGAGATAAAAGCAAAAAGTAAAAATTGTTAATTGTCTGGGTTTATGTAGGAAATTAAGATTGGAACCTTAGCAAAGGAATTTCTTCTTGGATAGAAACTTAATCAGCTATTTGAAGTTAATGACTTAATGAATTTTATCGCAAATCTGAGGTTTTGATACAAATTGTACTGAAATGGACAGATAAAGCCCTTTTGTTCTCACCACTGCTTCAACTCACATATTGCTCATCTGTCTGCATTTGTTGGTTATCACACGTGCACCTAAGGAGGATGCAATTGGAGGAGGTACTGGGGCTGGTAAGAGGAACTACAGAACAAAAAATTAAAATACACTGGCAGAAACCCATTGTTGGGCAACTAAATACTTTGAATATTGGTTTCAATACTGTTTTAGGAAGCACTGAAGGTCTGGAATGTGACTGTCACCCTCAGTTGGGTATATCACGTAATACTTTTTATTTTATTTTTTCCCCTTTTTGTCTTTTTTACTGACCGGTAACGTAATACTTTAAAAGACTTTTAATTTTGGTCTGGAATGTGACTGTCACCCTCAGTTGGGTATATCACGTAATACTTTTTATTTTATTTTATTTTTTCCCCTTTTTGTCTTTTTTACTGACCGGTAACGTAATACTTTAAAAGACTTTTAATTTTTTTTTTTTTGACCGGTAAGGGGATCACAACCCTCAGCAAGGTGTGATCCGTACCACGCTCAGCCAGTGAACGCACCAGCCATCCCTATATAGGATCCGAACCTGCGGCCTCAGCGCTACCAGCGCCGCACTCTCTAGAGTGAGCCTTGGGGCTGGCCCAAAACATTTTTAATTTTTATCATTTGAACTAAATTTTTAGATTTGAGCTAAAGACTCAGAACAAAATAGCCCCTCACTTTTTAAGATGAATTTATATCCTTGAAATAAAAAACTTAGTAAATGTTGGGCATTTAAACTCAAAGCTAATTTATTTCATTTTCTTCATTTCTTTTGTGCTAGGAAAGTAGTCCCTGTCGTCTATCATTAATGTTTCTGTAAGTAAAGGATGTCATTTCTTCTGGGAATTTTAAAAGGAAAACATTAGGATAGTTTTGTTTTTTTAAAGACAGTTTGTGCTCAGTCTAATAAAGGATCATTCTGGTGTTGTGTCTGGTCTCTAACTTACCTGCCACCACTGTAAAATAAATATAAAGTTGCAGAGCCGTGACTCACCTTCAGATCTATAATTACCTCAGGCTGAGGACTTTTGGGGTGACTTTTAACTCAGTGTTTTTTCCCACATCCACTTAACTTTATTATAGTGCCTTCTAATTAATATCCGTGATGTGATGTTCCCTTAATGGAAATGGCCATTTCATCATCTATTTGATGTCTGGATTTCTGCCATCTCCCTTCTTAGGCGACTCTTAACCATGCACTGCAGTATATCTGCCCGATCAATTCCATTCCTTCAATGATGCATCTAGGCTCAGTGAGCTAATGGCTGTGACTGTGCTGCCTGAATCTGTAGAAGAGTCTAAGAAATTGGAAATAAATTAAATTTATCATCAGTGTGGGACATCTGGTTGGTATCAGACTTTTAAATGAATATGAAACAGGTCATGCAAACAAGCAAATACTTTTATCCAGACGGTGTTATC